AGAAATGGTGTTACTGAAAAGTAGATAAAGAGTTGAGAAAATTTTTGCTATATGGAGAACTAAAAATAGACAAAAATCCTTGCCTTCATGAGATAAATGAGACAAATAAATAAATTACAGAGTATGTTAAATAGTGTTAAGTGCTTAGAGAAATAAAAAAAGGGCTGGGGAATAGGGAAGTATTGGGAAGGTTTACAGTTTTATAGTCAATGTCCAAAAAAGCCTCACTGATAAGTAACAATTGAATAAAGACTTGAAGGGAATAAGGGAGCCAGCGGATGGCAGTGAGGGGGATTGACATTCCTAGAAGAGGTAATAGCCAGGACAATGATCTTGAGATTGAAGTATGTCTGACCCTTCTGATAAACTGCAAGGCAGCCAGTGTGGATAAAGCAAAGTGAGGGAAAAGTGACATGGGATTTGAGAAGCAGTTTGGGGGGGTCAAAGAAGGGGGAGGTTGCACAGAGGGATACAGATCAAGCAGTCCTTATAAGGTTTTAAACCTTATAAGGACCTTATAAGGACCTTATAAGTCCTTATAAGAAAGCAAGTCCTTATAAGGTTTTAAACACTGAATTACATGATCTAATGCGTGTTTTAATAAAATCATTCCGGCTGCTAGGTTGAAAACAGACTGCAGGGATTGAAGGGATATTTAATGACAATAACAGCAATCATAAGGTTCTTTTGGAGGATCTAAGCAAGGTCCCTACTTCAGTGCTGCTGGGATATTTCGTATTCCTCTAATGCTTGACCTCCCTAATCAAATGAAAAACTGGGTGTCTAAGAATATAGGTCTAAACACAGAGATAAAAGAAGCAAATATTCAAAGATCTAGGTTCTTAAACACTAATTCCTGAGATTAAAATTTACTTAGCCATACCAAAATCATACTACCATAGGCCTGTGCCTCCTTTTCTACTCTTAAGAGAAAGGCAAAGAACACAGCTACTTCTAAACTGATGCTGAAATAAATCTGATAATCTGTTATTCAACCAACATTTGGTTGGTGAGTATCTATTATGAATGGGCCAGCTGCTGTCTTGAGTCCAAGGGATATAAAGATGAATGAGATATGCCCCTACCCTAAGATATTTACAGTCTAGTGAGTTATCCAGGCTTATATCATGTGCTATACAGAAACACAAACACACTTTTCATGTTATACAGCAACACTAACAGAAACACTATAACATAAGCCACAAATGCAAGCTACATATACAATTTTTAAATTTCTAGTAACCACATTAGAAAAATAAATAAAAAGAAACAGGTAAAATTAATTGAAATAATATATTTTACTTCACCCAATATATCAAAAATACCATTATTTCAACATGTAACCAACATAAAAAATTGGGACATTTTACTTTTCTTTTTTTTTTTTTTTTTTTTACTGTTTTCAAAATCCTGTATTTATACTTAAGAATATCTCAATTCTAGCTACATTTCAAGTGTACTGGACAGCACAATTATATAGATCTATTTTCTAGAAAATTGGAAATAATTTGACAGCCACAAGTACACAACAAAGTAAAATAGAGGGAGACTTCAACATGTTTACAGGTTAAAGGAAAAGAGTTAAGACTAAACATAGTATAGATAATTGATAGGGCATGTGGAGAGCAAGATCAAAGACAGGATCTAGAGCATAAGTAGATCAGTTAGTTTGGAAAGGAGGACAGTCACACCTTTCTTTGTGACAGGTGGAAAGGGAAGAATTAAATACAGGTATAAACAAGTTTGGTAAGTGTGAGAGAACAGAAAGTTGAAAGAGTTTAGTTTAGCTTCCCATTTTTCTCAGCAAATCAGAAGACCATCTCACCAGGCCTTTTACTACAGCCAAAATCTGAAGGCAGAACAATTTAAGAAATAGTATCCTGGCATGACAAGATTAAGTTGGATTTTTGTAAAATTACAGTAGTTTTCTAGTTTTCTTCTGGAGTGGTCAATCTTGAATTTTGTCATTTTATCTCTAAACACAGAAGCAATAACTCTGGACTCATTCTTTCCTTACCTATTCATTACTCAGCATACATGTACCCAATGTCTACTTCATGTCAAGTACAGTGAGTCACTGAACATACAAAGATGAATAAGACTTACATTTGCATCCCCAATATTTAGCATATTATAATGTCTGCACACAGTAAGTGCTTTAAAAACATAGCATTATATTGTTCTGTAAAGAAATATTACATGTCAACTAAAATATGTATTAGCAAAGACTTTAACTTAAAAGTCTAAGGAAGCGCTGTTCAATAGAATTTTCTGTGATAATGAAAATGTTCTCTCCGAAATGTCCAATATGGTAGCTAATAAGCACATGAGTTTTTAATTTAATTAATTGGATTTTAATTTTAATAGTGTATGTGGTTAATGGCTACCATCCAAATCCAAATATTAGAATACAGTGAGTAGCTAATGGCATTTTCACTATTGTAATCAAGGTGCTGTCATCTCTAAAGGGTTAATACACATAATATGCTGTTAGAAATGAGTATACTATAATACTAATTGTATCAGAAAAATATCATAAGAAATTCTACATAGAATTCTCTTTGTATAAAATAACTTCAGCACTGTGAGCCAGAAAAGAACAAAAGAAAAAGAAAAAAGATATGCCAATTTTTTCTTTTCACTCTATTTCCTCAAGGGGAAAACATCAACTTGAGTTTTCTCATTGTGTCAAGTAGTGAAAATACTGTGTGGAGACAAAGAGTCAAAGATTTCTTAGATTAGGAATTATTAGAGCATAGGAATTATTTTTGTAATGAAATAACAAGAAACTTTTTTGGCAAGACAACATAAGTTGTTAAGATCAGGATTCATATAATGAATTGTTTATAACTCAAAAAAACCCATTCTTGTGATTTGCTTATTAATGTCCCCAAGTTTGTCCCACTTACCTGAATTTTTAAAGTGAACCTACTGCTAAAAGACATTCAATCCACAGAGTGAATGGAAGTATAATCTAAACTAGACTTTGAGTTGAATAATTTCTGGCATAATAACTAAAATAGCTGTTTAGGCCTGGGATAGTAAAATGAACTTTCACGACTCTGTGTATCCACTATCCATTATGTATAATTTAAGTGACTGTACACAATCAGAGATACAAACTCCCACACGGGAACAGATCTGATTACATACTTAGATCTGATAACTTAAGAGTAAAACCAGTGAGGTGTGCAACTAGATGTCAGAGATAGCATTTTTTATGCACAGCAACTTGTTCAACTTGTTAACTACCCGGTAAGGCATTGTCTTGTAGATTAACTACACAACTTCCTGCCCTTCCTTTTAGTTGTGTTCCTTTGAAGCCATTTTAAAAAACATTACCAGATTGCCTGTCTTGAAGATGAGAGTGGTTATACAACCAAGATTTTATTCGGGTTAACAGAAATACCTAACACTTAGGTGCAGTGTCTTAATCTATTAGAAAAGCTTTAAGAAAACCATTTTATAATGATCTTCCTACCACACAAAAACAGCATCAGCTAAATGAATCTTCTAAATATAAAGACTGGCAAATCAAAAGCATGAGATCAGATCTGTAATCATTAACTTCCAGAGTCAAGTTGTGCTCTGGCTTATTGCAATAAAGCCAGGGTATTACAATACCGTGTTATAATGACATCATTAGCTTAGTTTCCTCACAAGGCATATATATGAATCTACAATTAATTAGCTAAAAATAGGAAGCCAACACTTAAGCCAACACTTAAGCCAACACTTAACTGGAACTGGCAGTTCCAGTTAATTTGTAAGATATTTTTCTAGTAATATATTTCACGATGCCTTTTGCAAAATGAATTAAGAGAAGGCTGGCTCTGAAAACAGATTTAATATTAAAATGCTGTTCTAGAGCAGGGAAAAAGAGGTATCAATGCTTTAGTCCCACAAAATCTTTATAGTGCCACAAAAATCGTTTTTGCTGCACTGCCTTTTGAAGTAGTAAATGAAAATACTGAGTTGTAGCAGCATTAATTAATGCGATTTAGAAATTCGGCAGCAGCCAGCAAAAGACCTCATCATAGAGATAAGATTAGACTTCTTCAGCCAGGACCAATTTCTGTCCTCATTGTCACTGTTGCCTTAGTGCTGTATTTTCTGGGCTGTAGTTGCCAAGAGGCAGGAAAGATTTTTCTCTCTGAATTAGTTCTGAGAAAGGTGGCGCTTTTTATTTATATGCTTTAAATCACCCTTTTCTAAGATTTTTTTTTTCTCCAGATGTTGCAGTAAAACTGCAAAGTTAACCATTGGTTCCAAACCTGTCTCGTTCAAACTGCCTTGAGAGAATGGAAAAAAGTAAGGTTCACATTCCAAAAGTTTGACTTGAGGTGGGGTGAGGACAGGGTAAGAAGGAAAACGTAGTTCTTAACTTTCGTCCAAATCTTTTCCGAAAGTAGACGGGGTGTTGGAATATTTTCTTTCCCTCACCCAGGCCTTGAGTAAAATTTCTTTCGAGGCGAGGTGGTTACATGAGATACGGTACCCTCCTCGATAACCAACTCCAACACTGAATCGTGACACCCCAACTGCAAACAGTGACAAGACGGGGCTGAAGATTAAGTCCTTCCCCTCCCCTTCGCTCAAATGTGTCCCAAATCGTTAAGGGCAGGAAACACAAGCCTCCTGGCTCTCCCCAACACTCAGTCTCTTTCCGTACCCTCGCCCTGTTTCCTCAGGGGGGACGCAGAACCCGTTCCGGACCCCGGCTCGCGGCTGCGGCGCCAGGAGCGACGAGAAGGGAGGAAATCAGAAGCGCGGGGAGGAAGCAGCCGCCTCCGGCCGGCCGCGATGTCCGGGGCTCGGAGGCGAGACGCGTGCGGGGGCCGTGAGGGGCTTTCCGGCTCCGGCCCCGCGCGCGTCTCCGTCGCGGCCTAGCCCGGCGCCCGAGCCCCGGCCTCGCGGCTCCGCGCCGCCAGCCCTACCCCGCCATCAGGGCCCAAGAGGCCGCGCGGCGGCGGACGTCCGGGAGGGGAAGAGGCACTTACCAGCTGCTGCCGAACCCAGCGCCACATGCCCCCGCCGTCGCCGTCCCGGTCCCGCGGCACGCGGGGGCCGAGGGGCTGCAGGTGGAAGCTGAGGAGCCAGAGGGGGAAGCGGGAGTGCCCCTCTGGCTGAAGTTCCGCTCGCCGCCGCCGCCACCTCACTCCCCGCGCCGGGTCCCCATCTCGCCGCGCCGGCCCTGAGGTCCTACAGGCGCGGCCCCGGCGCCGCCTCCGCCCGGCGCAGCTGAGCCGGCCGCCACGCCGCAGCCACCTTCATTATTGACCGCTGTCACCCGGAGCACCACCACCACCCCACCCTCCCTGCCCGGCCCCCCAGCCGCACCCGGGCCCGCCCCCGGCTCCCGGGCCCGCCCCCGGACGTGACGAAAGGGTCTGTGCGGACCCTGGGGCCCGGCGCGCTTCAGGAACCAGAGTCAGCCGGTGGGCGGGGCCAGCCGCGAGTGTGGCCAGGTGCAGCTTCTGCCCTCTGTCTCCCTGGCCCCCATCCCAGGGGTAGGATTAAATCGCGCTTGTCTCCCCAGAATCTGCAGCTTCTTGCCGACTCCTCTTTCTACCTCCTGCGGCTGTCTGCCTTCTCTGGTACCCCCGTCCCCCAAAACGCATACACACAATCTCGGGTGTAACGACTGAAAGTTAATTTCCAGAGGTCTCAAGTTTAGGTTTAATTAAATTGTCAAAGTCTTTGTCTTAATGCATAAAGCAGCTCCCTTCTTAAACAAATGACTGAGCTGGGGCTAGGGGAATCTTGATCACTGCCTTTAAGTAATGTTGAGAAGAGTTGCAACTCCCCTGTGCCTGGTCCACTCTAGACCACTGTTTCCGGGAGAATGCAAGAGATACTGTTTTGCCTTGCTAAATTGAACAGGTTAGGGGAAGAATATTTTCTATGGGAAGGTAGTTTTTTTTTACTATAACTCCTGTAATCAAAAACACTCAGAAGTAGCAAGACCCAGGTAAGATAAGGGTATGGATAAATAAAGGTAAGGAAGAATATAAAAGCCACTAGAAAAGCCAAGGCTTTGACTTGGAAAACTGAAATGAAGCGCCAGGTCTCGTTTTCTTCAAAAGTAGCCGCATATACATCTTGAGTGTTATATACATTTATTGTGCGCAGTATTTTTGCTGAATTAAAGCACACTTCACGAACGTACAGGTGTTTGCGGTTAAAACAATTCTTTCCTTCCCTTTTCTTTTCTTTTTGAGAGAAAACAGAAATGAGAGTAAATGACCAGGCAAGCTATTGCATATGTACATAATATTTTCCTTTCTATAAACATTCCTTACTATATAATGAGTATCCCGCGCCACAGATAGAGCCTTTCCTTAGGGATGTTTATGACCTATAAAACCAGCAGCGGAATATTATAAGTAATCCAACTATAGAAATTAGCTAGATATTTAAAGGAAAAAATAATCTCACTTTTGTTCTTATGATTGAACCTTGCTTTTTGACCCTAAAAGGAAGTTTGAGATACATTTACTTGTTGTTATACTAATAAAATATTACTACCATGCATGGAGCACTTGTGTGTCACAGGCCCTATACTATGCTCTTTACTTGCATGGTCTAATTTAACTCCCCTCTATCCTTTGAAGTTGATATTATTATTTCCATTGTATGGATGCAGAAATGGAGGCTCAGGTTAAAAATTTGCTCAGAGTAAGGAACTTGGCAAAGCTGGGATTCAGACTCTGGATGGTCAAGCAACAAAACTTTGTGTGCTAAAGATATGTAGAGAAACAAAAATATGACCATACCTACTTAGCATACCTACTTTTCACCTGCAAGTGGTCTGATTAAAATTAGGCCTGGAAATTTATATATATATGCCACTAACATTTATCAAGACAATGTTGTATTGATTCTTCTTATGTTAGAAGTAGAAATCCAGAGGATACTTTGTGCATTATTTAACAGTGTCCTAAATTTCAAAAGGTAGAAGTGGGAAGAGGACTTGATTCTAAATGCTATGGTGGGATGTGGTGAGGAGTGATCTTAAGATAACTATAAAGATCATAATTGTAGCTCAGACTGTCAGGAATAGAATGAACCCTCAAAGCAGTATTTTGTTCTCAAAGCACTTTTCAAGAGCAATATTATATACCTCATATTAATCGAAAAAGCATAGAGTATTTTTATACTGTAGAGTATAACCCATTAGTGGTAATGAAATCAACTTAATATGTCATGATCGGCATTAAAAAAAATAGAAACAGAAAAATCAGAATATATTGCCTAGTGTAATATGTATTGTTTTGTGAAACTTTTGTTTCAGGTCTGTGTGTGTGCTTGTAGACACATGCATAATATTAAGGCCACAATATAAAAAGAATTTCTTCCTATTGGTTTAGTTGGAAAGGTTTAAAAAGCAGTGACAGGGGAATACACAGGACGTAAGGCAGGCACCAGCTGTAAAAGAAAGAGGGGCGCCTGGGTGGCTCAGTTGGTTAAGCGTCCGACTTGGGCTCAGGTCATGATCTTACAGTTCATGAGTTTGAGCCTCGAGTAGGGCTGTGTGCTGACAGCTTGGAGCCTGGAGCCTGCTTCAGATTCTGTCTCCCTCTCTCTCTGCACCTCCCCCACTCATGCTCTGTCTGTCTCTCTCTCTCCCAAAAATTAAAAAAAAAAAAAATTAAAAAATGTGTTTGGATTCAGTAGTAATTTATTCATTTCACAGCTATTTAAGTAGTGAGCACCAAATGCATGCATAACAATGGCCTAAACTAGGAGAAGACACAAATGCAACTTTTAAGGTGACCCCTTCTTTCAGGGTAGAGTTCACAATCTAGTTGGAAAGAGAAGTTACAGAGAGGTATCAGTTAAATAACTGCAGGCACAAATACTCAAAGAGTGGAGAAAGCTCAAGGTGTTTGAGTTACAACTAATAAGAGTAATAAATAGTAATAAGAGGTGGGGTTGGGTAAGGATAAGCGTAGCGCTGGGGGAGTTTCCAGCTAGTCACAAGAGTTTACAGGAGATGGGCAATCCCTGGAATTTTCTGAACAAGGAAATGACGGGATGAAATCAGAATGCTATTCCATAGACACTATACGTGATAGGTAGGAGAGAGAAGAAAGGTCAGATATGAAATTACTGCTAGAGTGAAGCACTGAGTTCAAAAGTGCTAGACTGGCAAAGGGCCAGAAGTAAATAAAGCATGTTGTAGGAAGCTGTGTTTGGTGACAGACAAGGAAACCTGAAACTTAAGCCATTCCCAGTGAGGTGACAGACCTTCCAAGAGAATAAGTTTACCAGCATCATAACAGCCACTGAATTAATGAGAAATGGTTCTTTTTCTTGAGTAAACTTGTTAATATAATTCTGTGCTAGTTACACTTGTGAGGTGTGTTTAATCCCAGGGGAAAAAAATACATCTCTTGGTTTAGTGTGACAGGTATAACAAAGAACAAAACGAAAAAGGATATTTTTCTTGATTGTCTTGGACGATCAATAGAAAGCACAGGCTATGTGCTTGTTAAGGTCAAAATTTCTGGCTCATTCATTTCGGTACCCATAGTGTCTATAGGGTACTCAATAAATGTTTGTTAAATAAATCAGTTATTCTGATATCATTTACATATCAGTTTACTTATATGTAAATGAGTAGTTAAAGAAAAAATACCTAGTGCAGGAATATCAAAGTAATATAAAGCAAAGCATACTGAATGATTTCAGTAGATCCCAGGCTATGCAGTAAGACCAGTGGTCATCATCCATTGGACTCAGGCCACTCTCTGTTGTGTGCCTCTTAGAACTCTTCAAGGGTCAGTCTGATTGGAGGACACAGGGTCTTACCAGTCTTTTGCCTTAATGCCTTAATTACTTCTTCAGCAATGGGAGCCATTAGATGCTCCCTAGAATCTGCTCTTTCTCATTTTTTAAAAGGACAACTTTCTACCTTCTGAAAATCATAAATCTAGTAGATTATACATTATTCCACTTAAAAAGTGATTAATTATCACTTCTGGTAATTTTCTGATTAATTATCATTCCAGAATTTCTAGATCAGCTTTCAGGCAGAGAGAACAGACTTCAAGCAACCTTTTCCAGCACTGACCAGGATTATATATTTATCACCTTGTGAAGAAATTCATTAAGAACAATGTCACATTACATATTTGCAGATTTTCTTGAAAATTTCCCAAACAAGTATCAATTGTGGACAAAGTTACATAAACAGTTTTAATTTTTGGCTATTTACGCTTATATAGAACTGAAACTTAAAACCACTATGAAGGTTAGAATACAGAAAAACGACTCTTTCTTGGGGCACCTGGGTGACTCGGTCAGTTGAGTGTTTTACTCTTGATTTTGGCTCAGGTCATGATCCCAGAATTGTGGGATGAAGCTCTGTGTGGGCCTCTGTGCTGAGTGTTGGACCTGCTTAAGATTCTCTCTCTCCCTCTCTCCCTCTCTCTCTCTCCCTCTTTACCCTCCCTCTCTGCTGCTCTCCTCCATTCTCTCTCTAAAATTAAAAAAAAAAAAAATGACCTCTTTCTTGAAGAGCTAAAGTATGCGAACATAAATATGGTCAGCACCTTCCTTCTTGCTTATTTTTAAGTTGCTCTTTAATAACTCAATACTACTTTTGCATGAACCAGATGCAGCATTCTATCACCTCTCTTGTAAAACATAGAAAAATGAACCTGTATGCTCTTTTTCACTTAGTTTTACTTATCATAAGGGGGGAGACACTCAAATAGACAAGAGTCTGTGATTGAATTACCAACAGAAAGAGTGATAGCCTCAGATCAGCTGCAGCAAAACCAAAGCCACTGTTGTTAATTGACAGTCTCTAAACCTAGCCAAGTTTTGGTTAGTTGCACTACACAATAGATTAAATTATTTAGCCATCTAGAGGCATTAGTTTTGTCATATTTTAAGTTGCGAGCTTCATGAGGAAATTTCACTGCTTAATGTAAGATATTTTATGAGTGTTTTTCTTTCTGATTAAGATGACTGCATTAGGGGCACCTGGGTGGCTCAGTTGGTTAAGCTTCTAACTTCAGCTCAGGTGACCATCTCATGGTACCTGAGTTCGAGTCCTGTGTTGGGCTCTGTGCTAACAGCTCAGAGTTAGAGCCTGCTTCGAATTCTGCATCTCCCTCTTTCTCTGCCCTTCCGCGGCTCTGTCTCTGTCTCTGTATCTCTCTCTCTCAAAAACAAATAAATATTTAAAAAAAATTATTTTTAAATGACTGCATTAGGTTGAATTCAGAGAAGATAGAATGGTGGTTGCCAGGGGCTGGA